TTGACTAGTTAAGGTTGATTAAAGTTACGCATGGTACCGTCATCGTGTCAGTTTAACCGAGGTGAAACGAGGGAGATCATCTTCGCAGTCGAGGTTGACAAATCTTTGATATTCCTTTGATATAAAAGAAACTTCTTCAATCTTCTCGTTGAATATAGTGGCGTGCCTCGCAATTCAATGTAGAAGATATTTGAATTGGAAAGAAAAGGGTCTGCCAATTTTGAACTTCCAAAGAATCGCACTCTTGATTGAACTTGTTAAAGAGGAATTAGATTATAGTATTTACACTCGATTAATCGTCGGAGGTAACATCGAACTGATAGTTTGCCAAATACAGAACCATTCGAATTACATAATTGAAATTGATAATGTCCCGTGTGTATTGTTCACGGCTGCTATCGTATTTTTCATATTCAGAGCTCGAATCATATTTCAGATCGATTCATTTTCTCGGTTAATTTCAGCCTCTAGTAGATAAAGTTGCTCAATCACCATAATAAGCGAACAAAAGTTCTCCTCGAAGATAATATTAGGGCAAACATAGAGTTTAGCAGAGGTAAATATTAGGCAACTAAATGATGGAATAATCTATGGATTATTGCACTTGTTCGCTCCTCTAGTTGTGAATATATTTACAAACTGTACAACCAGTAGAAAGCGGCATTATCAAGGGACCCATATCTTGTTTACGCTCGGCGAAGCAACGAACAGAATTTCAAACAAAACGGGTCAATAAAGCGATTAAAATAACCATGCAGAAACCGCGATTAACAAACGAACCATTTTCTTAGATGATCTTTTGTTAGCGTTCGTAAAATATGTTGATAAAACAGCAGGATGGATGATATTAGATGAAATAAAATCGCATTGAATGCAAGATCTCAAGACCTGCGTTGCATAGGGATATTTACATTGATAATGTCACATTAGCACAGTGTAATTAACTACTAGTCACATGACTTGGAGAGTTACAATCTTCGTTAAATAAACGGTTCTTGGTTTAACAAGTGAAATCACCATTACAAAAGCGTTAAAAACGCGGCAACATTCTGAACTGCGTGGCTCTCATGCGAACGGCATTGTTTTACGGCAAAGGGACGCTCGAATTTCGAAAATTTTGTAATCCAAATGCGACGAAACAAGGAAGAAAATGATCAACGATGATCTCATTCGTGTGGTCGATTCGTTTGCATGCAGAATAGTGAGTTTTCCGTGAAATTAGGTTAATAGCCGCAGAAACAGCAAGATGACTTTCGACCTTGAACCAAAGAAACGAGTTGCAACTCTATGCGCGGCATAATATTCACAGCAGGTTTTGCTCATTTCTCGCCACGAAACATTTCAAGACTGAACATTATGATTTTCGTTACATTTCCGCGCTTGTTTTCCTGAATACGATCAATTATAATTTACATAATATGCCAATGTTTTGTTATGTGTGCGTTTTACTGCGTCTTTACTCCGATACATGCCAGCCAATGCATCGACAAACATCACTGGCGCCAAATGGTCAAACATCCATACTTACATACACACGTTATTTCGATCTATAGACTATGATTTGAAATTTATTTGTCTTTAAATAATTTTTCATAATTGTACAATTTTCCATGTGCTACCTTTTACAGACAGCGCTGAAAAGTATGGGCCGGGAATTAATTTGAGTGTTTAACAAGCAGGCAAAGACAGTGGTTGATGCCTGCAGAATCAGATTAGCGGTTTAACGAAAACTCTAGGTAAAATTATCGTTGGAAATGTTTTTTGTTTAATGTATGCTGGTTTCGAGCATTTGTGCATACTTTCCGGTTCCAGAAAAAACGGAATAACTGGAAAAGCTAGATAAGTTCCTTGACGCCGGAAAGATCGTTTAATGTGAAGAATCTGTGAGTTTGTTGAGCGAAGGTGGCATACGATAAGTACTTCTATTTTAGTAGGAATTATCATCGATCATCCTGTTTAAAAATGTCACTATCGATGATGTTCCTTTTTCAACGAGTACTATTTTTAAATGTATGGGAAAGATTAACGACAACTTTGGCGCGGTGCAAATCAATGCGTCAATTGTTGAACGGTGTCAAAGTTACATAACACTGTGGTTTGTCTACGTAAATAATTTTCATTGAATTTCTGTTTCACTTTAAAAATGAAGTACAAATATTTCGAAGAAAGAAGAAGAAGAAAGAAGAAAAGGAATAAAAAGAAAGTTTAATAAAAGCTATCATTGACAATTGAACTTCGTCGGAATATTCCTCAATTGAAAAAAAAAAACCCGGGAAAATCATGCGAGAAAGAAGAAAATGCAATTGCTAGAACAGAAACAGCCGCAACTTTCGAGCAGCAGTTCAAACGCTTCTTATCTAGTCTCGAAGGCTCGTCGCGATTTCCGTAGAAAACCTATTTAAAACACTTATCGATCTCGTTGCGTAAACTATCGGAAAGAGGTAAAACAAAAAAGTGAAATGTGATTCACCTACCTTTTGGCTGTTGGTCCTCTTCCGTTTTCTCTTCAATCTATCCATTGTTCCCGACCGATTTTAGAAACCGATCGATTGGAGGTAATTTCTAAGTTTTCGAGGAAATTGCACCGCGATGGGTATAGTGGAGATTAGGCGAGAGAGCCTCCACCTTCGAAGACAGGTGGTTTTAAACTGATCTTCCGTTCCTTATATCGGCAACCACTTAGCGATATCTTCCAAGACCGCGTTCAATGTATCGGTAACGTGTTCACGTGCGCTCGCGTGTACAAATGTGGATTTGCACACATGTTCACTTACACATGGAACCAGAGACCGCATACTTGTATACGTGCAAGATACGTGTCCCTCTTTCCGCCCACGGACGACCGATATCGATAAATCCTGTGAGTGACCAAATCGGAGCGCGTGAGCGAGCTGTTTACTCTGCTCTCATTTCTCATCGGATAGCAGTACGCTTCGCGGTCTTCCAGCAGGAAGTACACGTATCTTCTTCGAGGAGTACGTATCGAGAAACTTGGAGAACTCGAGCGGAAAAAAGTTTTAAGGAAGGCTGTGTTCTTGGTGATTAGTCTTCAAAGGAAGAACTTCAGTTCCGTAACTTTGGGGGAAGATTTCTCAAGTATCGATTCGTTGGTATGATTTGGAGTAGTAAACGAAACTACTCACCAACTGTGGACACGAATCTAATAGAACTGCTCGTTTTTTCCCGACACGAGTATCGCATAACGATGCGCGACAAATCACGAGACAATATATTACATAAGCGATATTGTGTACCGAGCGTAACGTGAAATCTGTAAAATTACAGAGAAGAAATAATTCCGCGAGCATTGCAAGTTTAACAGCATTATCGTGCTGTACAATGGAGGCAAGAGTCGAAATAAACGCATACATACGGTGGCTATGTTCTCTGCATTCTTTTATTTTCCCCCGATTCTTAATAATGATGATTCAAAAACAAATCGAATAATACCATTGCTAATCCGAAATACCAGTTTTACAGCAGAAACCCGCAAACTGATACATTACATGATAAATCGTTTGGAGTGTTCGTTATTTACGAGCTACGATTATACATAATAGTTTAATTAATGTCTAAGGAGTTAATTGTAATGATATGGTCTTACTATAACGATAATTAAATTATACTACCTAATTCGTCATCCAATTTGACAAAGTTTTTAACTGGTTAATTAATGAAGTAATTAATAATTAATCCCATGTCGCCTGTCCTCCAAACTAATTATTCCTTAGAGCGGAGAAACAAATTTTTATTCTCTTTCAATACAAAAATATTCGTAGAAGATAATAGACAAGCATATAGTATATATTTACGCGTCTAGTAAACTCAATCAATTAATTTCGCGCATAATACAATCACAATGAATGTATACAATACAAAACCGAATACAGCGAACAAATTCCCTTTCGTACGTTTTCTTTAACGGTTCAAAACTGGCGCTTCAGTGGAATACAACTTGGACGTAAATTTTCTTCTTCGTATTATTCGCTCTATCTTTCTATTTAACGTGTAACGATATAACTTCGCCAAAAAATATAGTTACCACGAACATGTGTTCACTCTGACTCTATCGACCAGACTTTATTAATTAATTATGTAATTACTTCATCGATTAATGGAATAATACATTAGAAAATGTCATGAAAATCTTGCAGCCGTTTCTGCCAATCGATGCGACCTTCGGCTAGAACCATTCTATGGCATTCTAATACTTGTTCGACACCTTCGTGCACTGTGATTTATACCGATCGCAAAACTCAAAAAATGACAAATATTTGCGCCTATTCATTGGTATTTATTTAACAGATCCCATTACAAAAATTTCGCGGCAAATTAGACGTCCGAGAAAAAGAAGAAAAGCGTATGTTCTTCCGGTAAATCGTATTGGCGAAGTTACAAATTATTGTTCGATGCTTAATTAAGAGTTCGAAGCATCATGGAACAATATTCAGTTCCGAGTCTCGAGAAACCGAAGGCTCACATTCGTCCATCTTCGTTCAAACGCAAACGCGCATCGTATTCTCAACAATAATTCACAGATCATTTTGCAGAGATCCCACAATAGAAATATTGATAGAACAAGAATCGAAAAACGTTATTGTATATCTCCTGTTATTTTTTTTTTATGATTATACGTATATGTAAATATACATATATGCAGGGTGTCCCATTTGAAGTTTTGCACGCAATTATTTCCCAAACTATAGCTCGTTTCAAAAAATGTTTCAAACAAAACTTACCCTGTTTGGAGGGGAATCTTATGGTGGTCACAAATCTTGTCTAGGTGGACATACTTCCGAGATTTCAAGGTGATCTTCGTTTTTTGGTCTTTCAACATGGTTCAAGGTCATTTCGTACCGTTTAAAACTTACTTTCGTTGTACACCCAGAAATTGTTTCTGAACTCCTGTATTCGAAAGGACGACCGCCGACATCGGTGCACTCATTTATTCTGTCCCTAAATAATTTTCGACAATTTCGTTACGGGTATAATGAGCCATCGTAAATTGAATTGCTGTTGAAACCAAAAATACGCAATGCTAGTCACAATAATACTGATGGTAGACGTGCTCCCGAGATTTCGAGCTGATCTTCGTATTTCACATTTTACACGGAACTGTATGTTTTTATTTAGGAACGTCTGTAGCCCATTCACAGACAAATTCATTGACCTATAACGCTTTGGTCTTTCAAGGTGGTTCAAGGTCATTTAGTACTTATACGTATATATAGTACTTAGTACTAAGTCATTTAGGACTTATATTCGTCTATTCGGTCGTAAACATTAGACAAACTGACACTAACACTTACTTCCACGCTTCGTATCAGTATTATTGTGACTAGCATTGCGTATTTTTGGTTTCAACAGCAATTCAATTTACGATGGCTCATTATACCCGTAACGAAATTGTCGAAAATTATTTAGGGACAGAATAAATGAGTGCACCGATGTCGGCGGTCGTCCTTTCGAATACAGGAGTTCAGAAACAATTTCTGGGTGTACAACGAAAGTAAGTTTTAAACGGTACGAAATGACCTTGAACCATGTTGAAAGACCAAAAAACGAAGATCACCTTGAAATCTCGGAAGTATGTCCACCTAGACAAGATTTGTGACCACCATAAGATTCCCCTCCAAACAGGGTAAGTTTTATTTGAAACATTTTTTGAAACGAGCTATAGTTTGGGAAATAATTGCGTGCGATACTTCAAATGGGACACCCTCTATATATATATATACACATTCAGGGTGTTATAGAGTAACCGACTGAGTTTTCTCCAAAATAGAAAGAGATACGAAAAAATCGATCAAACGAAACACGTTCTGTTTCTTTATTAGTGCGTTATTATAATACATCAGATGCTCAAGTTTGTAATTCCATGGATATGTAAGTCTTCCATTTGTTAACATGGTCAACTCCGCTGCAACGTCGGTTACCAGTGGACGAAGCAATTCGTGCCATTCCAGCTGAAGTTATCCTGAGAGCTGTAGACACTTTTTCAAATAGATTTAATCTTTGCAGAGAAACGGAAGGCAACAATTTTGAACATTTTATGTCATAACGCATTAATAAACACATTACTTTCCCAGAGCATAAAAGTTAAAGTTTTTGGCATCGTGTGACCTACCATGACCTTGGAAGAACTTAAGCCGTGGTCGATGTATTCGTCATGCAGAATACTATCAGACTATAGGGGAAAAAATATAAGGCCCCATTTAAAAAAAACTGAGTTGATCTTGAGATCATCTAGGCGCCTCCACCTACAACGCCGCCGTATACATAAAATGATTTCCCCCCTGGAACAGAACGTTTTTCATTCGACCGATTTTTTCGTATCTCTTTCCATTTTGGAGAAAACTCAATTGATCACTTTATAAGAATCCCCCCCTCTGTGCGTGTGTGTGTGTATATATATATTTACATCTAATTGGATAATTTGGTGTTCATTGCATTAAACTGGCACAAAAATAATGAAAACTTCCATGTATCAATGAATATAGTGTGCACGCTTAACAATGATTAACCTCTTGTATTAAAAAACAACGTCTTAACTATTCTTCTCTTCTTGAAATCAAACTAAAGCAAGTAACTTTGAACTTTGATATTAAACGAAGAAAATTTTTGTCCTCATTATTTTTATAGTATTCTAATAGTTAGGGACAAGGAAACGCAGAGAGATAGCAACAATTAATCCACGGATGAATCTCGTTCCAAAGGATTATTGCACCCGTTACAACACAACGAGCAGACCAAGGTGCTTTAAAAGTTCATGAGATAAAATTATGCATATATATACATGTACAGGGTGCCCTATTTTTATTTATAAATGCAATTATCTCTAAAACCGTCCGTTATTAGAAAAAGTCTAAAAAAGTATAGTTAGTTTGTCTGTATGTGGACGCGTGAAGAACATATAATGGTCAACAGTTTTTTTTTAAATGTAATATAATTTTGGATGCATTATTCGATGCATCTCGGTATTCTCTACAAAAAAGTTTTAACCTATTTATGTCGAAAAGTCATTAGTTTAAAAGATATATTTATCTCAAAATGTATAGCAAAGTGATTGTATTGTATTATGATTGTATCCGCAATCACTTAGTTGCCAACCCAATAGTAGTCTTTCAGAACAGTAGGCATCGCTGCTACATCACTTTGCAATACTTATTAAAATTAAAATATCTCCTAAATTAGCGATTTTTCGATATGAGTAGGTAAATATTTTTGTCTGCTGAATTGATGCTGAAATGCATCAAATACGGGGTACGGGGTATTACCGTTTGAATGGTCAAAAAAATCGAATTTTTTTTTGAATTTTTTCACACTTTGAGACCTTAAAAATATTCCTGCACAGTATTATAACTAAATTCGTAAAATTGTCGGAGTTATAGAGTTTAAAAGGACACAACTCCCGTACGCCGCGGCGTACCGCGACAGCAGGAGCCACAATTTCGTACACAGCGTTCCCAATATATTGAAAGGCTTTCTTTGTCGTTCTCTTTGTTAGTAGACAATCAAGTAGATAAAGTAGAAACACATTAAATACAAACTTGTGGTGTGAACGCGAATTTTTCAAATTAATATAATTCATACTAGCGTGTCCGTTGTTTGTATACATGAGTATGATTGGAATGCAACGGCGCGACGAATGTTTGGTTTTTTGTAAACATTGTCGAAGATTTTTACAAATTCTTAATGTCATGAGAGTGAAAATAGGGCCCAAGTTTAAAAATATTCGCTGATAATAGTGATGCCGAGCGTATCTTGCGCTCTAATAAGCAGACGTCGCAGGAGTCTAAGGAAGAAAGAACTGCTCGCAGACAACAAATGGCAGCTAAATAGCAATTTTTTGAAGCTAAGGAAGGAGTACTGTACAGTCCTGATATAGCTGATTAAGGGTATGTTAGCAATATCAGCCGTTATTCGCATTATAACTGCATGACGAACTTTAAACGCGTTTTTCTCGAAACATCATTTTTCAACATAGGTAGACCCTATTTGCAACCCGTTGGCGTACATATACAGTATATGATTGGCTATGGCCGGAACCACGAACTTTTATCTTAAAAATTACTATTTCTTTTAAGCCACATAATGCTCATATTTTTCTTGTTTCAAGTGTTACCATTTTTGTTAATATTTAGTTATTTATAGTTCATTGGGGTTCCAGCCATAGCGGTATTCATTAGGATTAAAATAAGCTTTAATTTTTTTATTTCCGATGATTAGATCGGCCAGAAATGATCCGTCCAACACAGCAACTTTTTTTCACAGACAGTTAAACAACCAGCTGTAACTTTGTAAATATTCAATAAAATTACTTGTAAATATTTAAAGTGTAATTTTAAGCATATTCGAAGATGTGTGCCAAATGCCAGATTTGTAAGCCTAATAGCTTTTTTATAATAAATTCTCAAAGATTGCGTAAAAAACGGAAGGTCAAATGGTAATACCCCCTTAATGCATCAAAAATTATATAATTCCATTTAAACAAATAATGTTAACCTTCAAATCTCCTCTACACGTCTACATACAGGCAAACTGACTATACTAAATTAAGTTCTATTTGAAACATTTCTTTTAATAACGAACAGTTCTGGAGATAATTGCATTTATAGATTAAAATAGGGCAACCTGTACACACACAGACGCACGCGCGCACACACACACACACACTGGGTGAGGCACCTAACTTGATCACCTCGAATAATTTCTAAATTATGCGTTGTACAAAAAATTATTTCTACAAAGGTTACATGGTATCAAGAGGGACATCACGTGGTGTACACGACTTCTTTATAAGTGAAGGCGTTTAGGAGATTGAAAGGTCAACTTTGTTTTTTTAAATGGAATGCCTTATTTTTTTTTACGGCAGTTCAAAAGCTCATTAATTTCCAAGTAGAAAAGTACTAAACATTGTTTGTCCTAAAGCTAATAATTAACGAGATATTAACAAAAGTTTGATCCGCATAAGGCCGGGAATTGTCTCTGAAGTAAGTGTGGCACACGCTTCACGAATTCGTTCTTGCATATCCTCTACCGTTGTTGGTAGATATTCATGATACACTTTATTTTTTAAAGTACCCCAGAGAAAATAATCCAATGGTGACAGGTCTGGTGAACGAGAAGGCTATGATCTTCCAACGCGACCTTATGCGGATCAAACTTTTGTTAATATCTCGTTAATTATTAGCTTTAGGACAAACAATGTTTAGTACTTTTCTACTTGGAAATTAATGAGCTTTTAAACTGCCGTAAAAAAAAAAAATAAGGCATTCCATTTAAAAAAAACAAAATTGACCTTTCAATCTCCTAAACGCCTCCATTTATAAAGAAGTCGTGTACACCACGTGGTGTCCCTCTCGATACCATGTAACCTTTGTAGAAATAATTTTTTGTACAGCGCATAATTTAGAAGTTATTCGAGGTGATTAAGTTAGATGCCTCACACTGTATATATATCTGTTTCATTTCTTTATTATCAGCATCTTCTTTAACAATATCACTGAGTATTATTCTTCTTCATTATGGCGCTCTTACTGGTGTCTTTCAACTAACGTTCTCGTAAGTCTTATAACTGTAGGATCTTAACATGTCCCTTCCTTTAGTTACCCTAAGTTATTCTTAAACAAGTGTTTACGTGATACGAATGTTCGTATATAATGGAGGATGATGGAGTAATTCGTGTTTTGCGAATTCAACAATGATTTTTCGCCTCTAAGTACAGCTACGGTTTTTTTTAATTATTTTTTCTTTTTCATTTAAGTTGAATCGCATGTTTTATCTCATTACAACGCCTAGCACATTCACCATTTGTACACTACCGACGCACGATTACACGCAAGATCGGATATCGAGAACAATAATTTTACTATACAATCTTTGCCTCTTTAATAGTAAAAATATAGTTTTGGAAAAAAGTAATCCGTGCTGCCATTCGAGTCTCTAGTACACTCACTTTACACGAACAATGTGACATGGATGTTGTGGGCAATCTATTTCGTTAAGTTAAAATACAATAGAAATGGTTTATACGTAGACGAAAGTGAACGAGGGCTGGAAGGGGAATCGTTTAAAAAAAATACGTAGAGGATATGTGAAAAAAGAAGAAATAAACCACTTAAACGACTTAATACTTCTTTGCTTAAGTTCATTTACTCGTTACGGATTCAACGAACGAAAGTTTGCGATAACTATTAGGCTAGTTAAAAAGGAACGTCTTCGTATTTCAATGATTCTCTTCATCGAGATTCAAGTATACGGTGATTACGCGGTGAAGGATAAACCAAAAAAGATAGTCATGCAGACTGGTATTCAGCGTGATATAGTAACAATATCTCACTCAGAGAATAATACAATCCCTTCGTGTTTTTCTTTTTTTTCTTCAACTAAAATACTGTAATCTACGATAGAAGTGTGTTATCAGCTAAAGGTACAACGATACGTTTGCTATTTTCTTTAGGAAAAAAAGAATGTTAATTCCAATGCGGTACTGTCCGTATCGTTACCAAAATGATGTGTACAACACGTAACGACGCACTGTTGAAGAATGTTTCGATGCGAGAGACAGATCGTGAAGCTAATCAAACAAACGTCTGATATGATTAGGGTGCTTGACTGATCTCTGAATCGCCTTAAAAAGGTAATCCTAATCAAAACGTTCCTGCTACAAAGATAAGTGAAACGTTCGATGAAACGATATCCTTGCTATTACGCACCCAACACGTTTCTTTAACGTCGAACGTTACCCCACAACTCTTGGATCTTCGTCTCCATCGTCTCCGTTGCCTCTTCGGCTATTCGATCGAAGCAATCCGACAGGAACGTGTACTGTGAACAAAATGTTAATCGTTCGACCGCAAACGTAGTTGAACTATATTTTATAACACCGTACAAAAGAGGCAGCAATAAAGCAAAATCGTTTAGGATATATCATCCAGGGTACATAGATTATACTAACTACTACGAGAAGGAACGAGTCGTCATCTTGTATTAGCACTTTGGTATCAAAAGAAATCATTTAAGTCAATTTACAGTAGCACATTCAGGTACAGCAATTAATCTTTTGAAAAATAATATTACTTACATAAGGTGTAAAGAGCTTAAGCCAACGCAGTGGACGGTAGTCCTGAAGGGTATACTGGAAGCAGAACGCCATTCCTTCTTCGTCTATTTCCCATCGTTTAATGGTGTTCCATTTAAGTTCAAACACATGGGATTCCAAAGTGCCGTCCTCTTTCGCTCCTTGCAACTTGAACGCTGCTGCTCCTACAATGGGAACGAGATGTCCTTTCTTCCTCGAGTCGCACGCGCAATGTGGAAACACGATATCGCCGTAACCACTTAATTCTTTTGCCAATTTTAGGTACTGTAAGCAAAGAAAAATAAGCAAAAGGGAATTAATATTAAATAGGATTGGAGGTGAACATTAAGAATAAACGATACCTCATGTTTCCTCGACACGTCTTGCAACGCTTTCAACTGGTACAGTCTTTCACCGGCTGTGATATGACCTCTGTTTACTTCGTCGACAGTCTGCCAGAAGATCCAGGTTAACGCTTTGTCGCTGAGTGGTCTGTCTAGATTGAAAAGCCACCTTCTTACCGCCAGACACGTTACGCTAGCGGTAGAGTAGTTCTGAACGTACAAAGTGTGAGGGTGCTCATGGGGTTGCAGCTTCCGTTCTAAAGAAGAAGCAGCACAATCAGTGATACGAAATAATCAGAAAAATTGCATAGTCTTTTAATTAGCTACGTACCGAAATTGTATTCGACGATCTCGAAGAGATAAAAGTGTTTCGCTGTATCTGTATCTAAACCTACTCTATTACAAACTGCATCGTACACATCGCTGACAGTGGCAGCTTTAGCGACTGTAACGGTAACAACTTCGCGATCAGGCAGGAGTATTTTTAAATCTACAGCTGGCCCTTGGTCTCCGTCTTCCTCGAGTCTATCGGACAAGAATTCCTGCATGATATCGCTATCAGCAATAACTCGCACGGCGCAAACCTTTTCCAAGTACTGCTCTAACCCTCGCCTTCTTGCATCGAGCTGCAGCTCACTCAATCTGCACAAGTGTAACACAACACATTTATGGATGAAACTGTATTATTATGCATTCCCATTGTAGATCTAGCTATTCGATCGATAGAGTTAATAGGAGATGTCGTACTGGAATGGCCATTTGCCAGGGAGCTTAGGGAAGTCGAAGCCAATGAATTCCTTCTTGAGGGCCATATGCAGGGCAGCGAATTCCCGATAGCGTCGAGAACACAAATGCCTGCCTGCCATGTGAACGTTAAACACCACGTAACGCTCGTGTTCCCTCTCGCGCACGTGATAATCCGGCACGCTGATGGGCAAAGATCGCTTCTCGCTGTAGTCCATCGAAGCGTAGCTAAGGAAAGGTGCATTCGATCCATGTAAATGTATGAAAAGTAACAACTAGGAAGTAACTCCTGAAGCCAGCACGCCTTCAGTAGCAGTCAACTTAGATCTGTCCTCTGGCTGATATTCGTACCTGAGATCCTCGAAAGGCTCGAGCTTTTCCGCTTCCTGCGGTGTGACAGAGATGACGGTCAACGTGAGAACATCGCCACCGGATTTGATCAGGTCCACCACTTGCTTATGGGTGGCCCCCTCGACGTTCACATTGTTTCTACGCAACAAAGACCAGAGTTTATCCTCCGTAGAGCGATACGAACCACGTAGCGCAGATCTTTACCCGCCTGTGATCGCTCTTAATTGCGATCTACAGCGTCTGCGGTTCTCCATCCACTCGCATTGCATCGCGGTCACGTAACACGTCAACATCTTGCCAGTCTACGCGTTTATTAGCGCGATATCGGGAAAAAATTCTCGATAATAAAATCTCACAGAGGTAAAAGCGCAGAGAGGAGGAAAATATCTCTGCCTACTCGTGATTCTACGGTTAGTTTGTACTTTCACGAATCACGGAAAGAAACAGGTGACCAGCCTTGCCCGGGTTTCGAATTCCACACGTGAAAGGACGAGTGTTATTGGTCGCAAGCGGGGGCACGGCCCTGCTTTGATTCACAATCTGCGCTCCAACTGGACGCAAACAGCGCACTTTATACTTTTCCCTATCGCCTTCTATCCCTCTCGACTCTATTTTATTATCTGTCATTCTGCAGCGAAGCGTGTTTACAAGATAACACACATCTTCCTCGAAAAAATTTCCAATATTTGATCATTGGATCTAGCGATACCTTACCTCTTCAATTGTACTCTTGAACGATGCCTGTTAATCTTAATTGCGGATTGGCCTGTAGAAAATCGAGATTGAAAGAGTAAAGAAAAAGTTTTTTTCCTGAAAACTTTTTGCAAATGAGTTGATACACGAGTATTTTTAACGCGAGATCCTATTTTTATAGTTGGAGGAATTGTACGCGTTTTGCCCTGGATGTCTATCGATGCAACAGCAAGTCGCCTCGTGCCTCCTACCTGCTGGTAAACCGTAACGAAACCAATCGAAGGAAACAGCAGTAGTTGCCTGCTATTGATCGAATTATCTCTTTTCTTGCGACGCAGTCTGGTCAAAAAGAAGTCACATCGCGATAGAACGAAACTTTTACGTCTGCCACAGGCTTTTTATCGAGCATCTTTGATCGATCTTGTCAAAATCGCAATCAAGTGGTTAATGACACGCCAAAGATTGTATAGGAAGTAAAACATCCTATACAATCTCCCCTTCTTCGTTATTAAATACAGCGAACGAACATCTTTCATCACCGAGGTTTCAATTCGTTGGATTCACCATGACGCGACGTTTGATATACCCATACTTAATTGATAATTGACAAGATTTACGATTGTGAAGATACGATCGATACGATTTTCGAACTCTTTACAGGAGAAAGTTCAATCGTTCATCAACCTCATATCGAAGGGAAATAAATATTCAAGATTTTGGCATTTGCTCCATCCGTTTTCGTAACTGTTCAACTCTGGAAGCGTTAATCACCAGAGTAATGGATGTAATTACGAAGAAGAGAAAGCTGAACGAGCAGATTGCAATAAATTCGCTGAATTTACGTTAACGTCCCGAAGTAATCGAAGAATTGTCATTATTCAGCGGAGAAAATAGTCTAGCTGTGTGACAATGTTATCATCGCGTATTTTTGCAGAATCTGTCGGGTATTTAGCGCAACAGATATTGAGAACAAAAGCGACACACGTAGCGTAGAAAAGAGGTCACGTACGTTTATCCGAATGTATTTACATTTATCGATAGTCTATCAATGCGATGAACAGATGACACATTTCAACGGGACCGTGATGATCACTTCGCTATTAATGAATTATCAAGCATGATGACATTCATGAATATTGGCTATCGTTTGCGATCTTATCTCGTCCGAGGGAAAATCTGGGATATTTAGAAGGTGGTCGTTTATTAGATCAAACTTATAAAATAGTGTAATCTTCATAAATATGCGAATAGGTAGGTAGAGTTGGACAACTGGTTGAAAAATAGCAGAAGAAAACCATTTACCGTACGTGGTGCTTCTTCCTTCCTTCCAGCTATACATTCCTGTAATTACCTGATTGATCCAATCAGATTGGACCAGGTACGATTAGTAGAGCTAATTATAGCTGTAAATTGTACAGGTGAGTCGATGTGGTGACGATGAAACTGCAATGTTCCGTAGGAAGTCGATTCAAAAGAAATCGTGCTTAATGAGATGTCGAGATGGAAATGATTAGCTACTTCATTAATATGACCGTTCGTTGTAATTCATTTATGCTTAGAAAACTGATTCGTAGCACTGATCTTTAACGTTGCACACGTTCGATCGCTATTTGTTTTCGTTATTACTTTCGAAGTCTGCTTAAAGACGCGCGGTTTCAAGGTACGTAATCACCTTGATGAAACATCCATTTCGCTCTAATTTAATATCGTGCCCTTGGTGGCTAAAAAAAATCCATCCATGGGATTGCATACGTGTAACCACTTGTTAGAAGCCACACAAGGCACAAACCTTTTAGCTGGTGCACCGAAGACGGGAATCAAGTTTCTAAGTCGTCTTTCCTTCAATTTCGCGCAATTCTAGGGCGTTCTATCACTCAATCTTTCCATAACCGTTACATCTCTTCTACTCTTTCCGATTAATGCGTACAGGCTTTCCCAAAATATTCGCTAATTATTGATATACGTTGCACACTTAAGTGATGAAAAAATCTGCACGAACGTTGTAAGGTAGTAAACATCCGATTAGCTCGAGGCAGTTCAAGTAAGTACGGTGACCTATTGCGTGTATGCTAGATAATAAATTGAGTAATTCACCATAATGTATTTTTCTCTCGCGGCGATGCTTCTTCGAGTCATCGTTGAACAAAAGGAAAAATACCAAAATTTTCGTAGCTACGATCAAGAATTGAATTTCATGCGAATAGTTTTCTTCCGTTCGTCCTCGACGATGCCTCGCAAGAATAACATTAGCAATCCGAACGAGCCTATGATACCGTTATGCACCACGCACAGAATCGCTGGAACGTGTGCCTCTCTGTTCCTTCCTTTTTTTTCTGTCTGGCAATTACATCGTTAATTACACAACGATCGGTGAATTTATTTAAGAGCTATTAAAACGCTTTTTAACTACGCATTCCAGGCTGACGATACGCCTGAGTCCATCCGCGATTTAAATTCCACGCGATACACGCTCTGGACGAAAGTGTAATTTATTTTCGCGGTTATAATCCCGTTGTAACAACAGCTGTTTCGCGTTGAAACGCTACGTCTTCTCGTCTTACCGTAAACTGTGGTAAAAGAAAACAATATGAGTTGATTTTCCTTTCATTTCAGATTGCATCTTCATTCGCCGACTATTGACACTTGATCACCGCATAAATACAAAGCTGGATAAAGTCGATTGCTCCGGTGAAGAGAATCATTTTCACCACTCTGATTTACGCCCGTAAACACGCGTGTCACGATGTTTCGACTAGTCGTCGAGTTGTGGCTCTCTGTTGAACGGACGCTTTACTACGAAGGCAATCGCCGGTCTTGCGAATTCAACGGCAAAAGATCTACGCGATAACACCTCTATTAGGGTAAATACTCCGGGTTAGATGTTCGGTACCGGAAGTGTGACAACGAAAGGCTAATAATCACGTGTAAACCAAACGCAATGTAAATTGTCATCTAAAGCACAGTGCGTGAACTATGGGACACATCTTCGTGGTTTCTGGGTGGATTATTAGACGACCAATCAAACGCAGATTAATAATCTATGGCTTGATTAATGGTGCGTATGCAGCGGTAATTTCAAAAATAAAAAACGGGAGAACAGAACAATTCAGTTGCAAAAGACACACTCGAATTATGTTACACTGATTCTACGCATTTTCAAATGTTTACGTGTTTAAGAAATGCACTTGCCTATTACAATCTTTTGTATATTGAGAGTAGAATTCTTGAAATTTTTTTTTATGCAAATCCTTCCGTTCGATTTATGAACAGATGAAAAAAGTATCTCTGACATTATTCGTTGGAAAACTCGATACTGTGTCATATTTCAAGCACGATAGGCATGTATTGTGAACGGAAATACAAACAAAATTATAGAAATTACCGACCGTTCGCTCGCAGTTTAAGTGTCTTTATTCAGGAAGTTCGAGGTGCAGACGTCTGTCCTCCTATACGTACTGTTATTTCAATTACATTGGTATATACAACGATACGATCGTAAATCACGTATAAATGAGAAGCGTCCGATAGACTTCTAGAGCTAGCACGTTTCCAGTAAACTAACATGTTCTATCGCCTGAAAGTTAAAGTGGAAAACACACGCTTAAAATATACTCAAATTTTCCCTTGAACACAGTCGACTTTTCGGAAGATAATTCCAGGAGAACGTACATAGATCTTTTCATTATGTACTTCCGCGATACTTAGGTACGTTTCACGCGTGAGGTTTCGCGTCAGTTCACGCACAGTTAACCACGAAATAAACAGGAAAATTGAGAAAGGAAGAGATCAAGTATATCATTCGCGATTTATTACCATCATTCGGTTAGTATCTTGATAGAGAACTTTCAGATGAAATGTAAACCCTGCCAAGAAACCGTCGCGCGTCGTTTCCAACCAGAGGAATCGATTAAAACGAATATCACACTATCACAATACTATTTATATAGTTTATACTTCTCCAAGTAAAGAAAAAAGAAAAAGAAGGAAAAGAAAGAAAAAAAGAAACAGATGTCTATAGTGTGACAATAAAAATCTATTGGAACAGGCTTTCAGCAAGCTAGGTTTCTGGAAGCACATCAAATAAATGATCTTATGCATCGCATAGATTCCTTCAAAACGGGTTATACACTTGATCTTTGTCCCAATAAAAGATTCTCTCCCTCTTCCTGAAGGTAGGAGTCGGGAGCCGTTTGACAGGTAGGCAGGCAAAGCGATCATTGCCAAATAGAAACACTGAAGTAGGAAAGAAGAAATTCAACAAGGAAAAAATAAAAGAAGGGAGGAAAAATGTTACTCACACTTCGAGTATACGATCACCTTTCCGTATACCGGCTTTCTCGGCAGCACCCCGGGGTAATACGGCGCTGACATGCTGAAGTGGCGCGTACAGTTCCCCGTTGATGCTCCTTAGTTGTCCACCCTCGCTGACCTGACCCCGTACATTGAACCCGAAACCGGTCTCGGTTTTGTAAATGGTCACGCATCTCGGTCCCTGCCTGATCGGATCGTTCGATTGATTCACCGGTTGCTGAGGCACATTCGCGTTCCTCGTTACGTCCTCGTTCGCGGCTGGCAAGCGCTGCACCTCCGACTCGCAGTCCGCCATCTTACTCTCTGACCGCCCATTGATCTTCTGCTCGTACGGAGATCCGCCGCGAGACTGCGCCTCTGTAGTCATTTCGCTTTTCTCTTTCTGTTTCCCCCCCTTTCGACTTCCTTCTTTGTTCCTTCCTCGCGAGTTCAGTATTCTCCGCCAGGGAGTCAGCTTTGAAATCAGCTGTTACCATGAATCGTAACGCCTTTTTTTCCAATACGGAAATAAATCTATTATTGAGTAATGTTATGTTCTTTTTTAATTAGTATAAATGTATCTGAAGTGTGATGAGTCGTTTGATTAGTGAGTGAATGAAGGGATTCGTTGTCAGATGCTACGTTAGTCTGAACGAGCGTTGGCGCTCTTTGGTAGGATGCTGCATGATCTTACAACATTGAGGAACATGAGACGTGGAACATGTACATATTTTGAAATGAGAAATTAATGAGGTACGCATGAATGATTCGCATAATGCTTCGTTCTTGTAAATGTTAGTAAGAATGGAAACATTACTTTTTTTTTCAAATTGTCAAATATAGTGCGATGTATTTGGCGGAATTACGCATGCGTGGTGTCTCTAACCTCATTACGAAATAACTACGAATTAATGCGATTTTAAAATTCAAATTATTAAAAGTACGATACATTTTAAATGCTTATATTTTAAGTCTGCTCCATTTCGACACTAAGAATCATGCATAATTTCGAGGTTTTGAGTATGATGAAAATATAAAGACAAATGCCATTTATATCTGCAATATATTAAATAATTATTAGATACATTTATGTGCGGTAGTCGTTTTAAAGTCACGTCACTCGTATGTACAACTTTTCATTCCATCTTAATTCACACCACTGTTTTTCGTAATCATTCTCAGTATGATTTACTTTTTAATTGATTAAACGACAAGGATTGCATTTTAATTTATACACAAATAATCATTTTTCTCTGATAACGATTTTTTGATACAATTTTTTTTTTCAGTTCACTCCTACCTCTTGTTTCATGTTTTGTTGAATTGATATTGAGTTAAACGATAGTCATCGTTTTATCGAATCGGATATTTCGAGGAGATGTGTAAGGTCGGTGGAATTCTTTACGTTCAACTTGAACCGAGCGAAGAGAAAAGAGAACACTGATCGCGCAGAAAAAGGATGATCTTGAGAATATAAAATCATTAATCGTAATACTGTTGAATCGATCGGTTTAATCTATCTATACCCTCAGTTCTCGATAACGCACAAGAGAAATTATTCGAAAAATTTCCGAGTATCTCTTACAAAAGCTTTGGTACCTGTACCGGTGATATCTTTCTTCTTCGTTTGCGCATTCCTGAGGATATCGTGAAATAGTCGACACATACAAATCGCTATAAAATCACGCATTGCATTCACACTTAGAGAGAAAGAGGGAGGGGGGAGGGGGGCGAAAACATTGGATCGGAATTTTCTTTCGCTTTTTAAAGAAAATCGAGTCTTGATCAAACCTCCGTATTCGCAGACTGCGCTCGTTTGCAAGGAAAGCAATACAAATAAGAAAAGAGAGCAACTTCAGATAAAAGAAAGCGTAAACTCTCGGTGCGGTGTATTTCTGTCAATAAAATTTACATGTATCCCTCAAGTGTATGTACTTCTCTTTGATCTCGATAAAAAGGAAAGCGTGCAATTAGAAATTTCATTCTTAATTCCTTAACTTAACGAATCATTACAACTGACATTATGCAATACTCCTTTCCTCCTTTCTTTAACATCTTCCAGCACGTTCTTAAAAAGTGAAACTCTGAGAACATGGAGGTTTAGGTGAACCTTAAGACTTCGTATGATAGTATGTGCGTATATGTACATCACATGAATACTTTAAGATAATCTAATAAACGTGATTGTACCGATAACATGCCCTTTGTAAGGTAACCCAAGAGTAAAAGGAACGTGCATACATTAAAAATGTTCGAACTTATTTAAGTCTGACTAAGCATTTAGTACAACAGCGCTTTCCATTATATAAAATTCGAAGATATTCCTAACAAACGGTTCACCGTTGATAAATCTGAGACTTGTCGAATCGGAGCGAACCGCTAAATTTTCTTGCGCATAATATACAGACTGTACATAAAATACACGTGTTGGATTCTGGGCTAAAGTTTTCTCGACAAAAAGATTCTCGTTCCAAATGAGTTCCCTTGGCATCGTCTAACGTGTTTATGGCAAAATTGAACTTCATATGTTACGAAGTAAAATCGAACGGTAAGTCTAGAATTATGAAATTTCAATAGAGAGATGAAATCGTAATTAATCGTTATGCTAACATGGCGGCGTTCTTGTGAACGAAAAATTACAAATAGAAAAGAAAATAAAAAATCAAGTTGAGACGAAATCCTAACAGGGCTTATCACATATTCATATTGTATAATCTTTCACGATATCTTTCTGTTAAAAGTCCGTATCGTGCACACTGAATTTCATGGCGCAGGAAATACACGGTAATATCATTGCCTTTTGTAACAACAATTTAGTATTACGATTTTCCTTGCAACTATTTAATATAGGTACATTCAACAAACAGACGGTTAGACAGAGTTGATAGCTATAAATCGGACAAATTTAGACATTCATTCCTCGCATGGACATTGATATTTTAGGGTACGGAAATTGCCTGAATAAGAAACTCTGTGATGAAACGTCTATGCAAATACCGTTTTAAACAGAATTTCTACTATTATTCCCATTTAATATAGGCGCCCTACATTTTACGGCGTAATCGTTAAAACATCTTTTTATTTTTGCCTCTAACGAGTATCTACGGAAAATTCATATTAAAAAAGCATTTGCATCTGTAACAACGCGATTGGATACGTTCTTAAATTATATCAACGTTAACTCTTCACATACTTTTGTTCGTGAATATTTTTTTGTATATCTGAAGTACACCTCGTTATCGAGCGATAAAACCACCTTGTTCTCGAAAAAAAAGCTGCCGTGATAGCTTGAAATAATTATGTTCGAATGTACAATGTTTACAATCTATTGATCCTTTGACGAATGGAATCGCTTGAAATCAAAAGTACCCATCTCATGATACCCCGATGATAGATTGTGAACTAAAATTCTGTTCATGCATTGGAGAAAGGGATCCATTAGCTTTCTAAAAGCTTAAAATTATAAATCACATTGTTCCTTCTCTTATTCTCATATAATACACG